GTGGGACACCTGGAGATCTTAGCTAGGTTTAGTAGCGAATATTGAACCACCCGAAACGCAACCGAAGGTCATGAATTGTCTCGATCCCACACCAGAAAAAGGTAGTTCTTGCAAAGAGCCGAACTCATGACAGAGATCATGTGAATTGTTCCTACGCTATATCGCCTGTTTGCATACTATTTCTGAAGGGCCAGGCGAACAGATACGAACAATACTATTCGATAAGTTTATAGACGGTTATATACGTCGTGATGGATCCCGTTTTGTAATAAGTATGCACATGGTTACTTGTTGAACTACTTGCCACTGACGAGGCATCGACGGAGACCAAAATGCGTGTTGTACGCATCTATATACAACTCGTGTACTTTTCGTTTCATTTACGTTCTACTACCCATCAATGTCATCATCGAACTAGAGTCGCCAATAAGAACGCGGCCCTCAGACAGACGGGCTCACGAGTAGAAGTAGTAAGGTCTGGACACGGACCAAAAGTAATTTGTTAGTCTTTCATCAAGGTGCCAGCTAGTAGATATTTCGTTTCGCATCATACGTTACCATCGTGACACCACCACACTAGGCACTGCAAACATCGAACACCATTTTGCGAAGACAAGTAGAGCAGGTGGGAGCGTCGCCAACTTTGCTCAAATATAAACGAAAAAAATTGGCTGTCACAAAATGTGTTATATTGACTAACGCATGTCAGATGCAAGTGGTATGTAAAAACATTGTATGATCGGTATTTCGCCTATAGGAACTACGTCGCTGCATCCTCAGATGTTACCGTTTTCAATTTGGAAACGACTAAGCATGACCGTGGAGTTCGAAACGCCTGCGGTAACGGTGAATCAGATGATAGTGATATGGGTAGGGTGGACAAGACGATAACTACATAAATTGCTGTGTACTTCACTAGGCAAGTGGAGTCAGTGGTTATAAACCGGTCATCTCATATTTAAACATAGTAAGTAAGGTGTTTTCATACACGTGCATAAGAACGTGTGTGACTATGGAAAAAACGACGTAACAGGCAACGGAGTGAATGGAATTGACTCGATAACAGGCTTAGGGAAAAGAGTGCTCATGCTAACATGTGTTCGTTTACAGTATACTACAAGATGTCGAGACGATAGGAGCTAATTCTAGTATTTTTAATACACCCATCGCGGCACCATCGTGCCAGACATAGTGGTTACAGTTCGACAAATCATATGCGCACTGCAAAGCAAAATGATCGAAAATGCGAGGTTAAGTCATCACAAGTCCTAAAGGCGGATGTGGATACAGAGCAGAGCAGACCTGTAAGGCGCATAGGATGGCCATACATACCATACAGGTGATCAAATGGCAAATGCTGCAATATCGAGGGTATCGAGAGCAAGCGATAGCATTGGCGGCATTATTTGGTGTGAAAATGACGCCATCCAATGCCAGCGTGGTCAATCACGATTGTAACAGTCATTCACGACGCTAGAGAAAACAACTGGATGTACTATAATGGATTTTCTTTTTCGAACATAGGAAGCCCACGCGACTAGTACAACCATACATTACTTTCTATCGCCACTATCACTTTACTCGTGCAAGCTGCTGCGCACCAATGTGAGGTGAGTCTCTAAAAAACACTGATCGACAAAGACAAGTCTCTTTGGGACCATTGGTACCACCTCCTTTTTGACGAACGTACCAAAATAATTCGCATATCAAGTGGTCTCTCACGGTCTTATCGATTCGGTTAATGTCCATTCGTAAAAATATGATTGTAGCTTCGGATGTAGAATAAATCTTGCGGTACAGCTGAGCTATGGCTTCGATCAACTATCCGAAACTGTTATGCATCCTTGGGTCCGACGCGACGTCAAATAAGCTCCATTGCTGAATCGTACACCACTACATTCGCTCAGTGTACACGCATCTGAATAGTGAATACACCGAATATTGAAGGCAACATATGCCTTGGTCAACCTGATCGAATACATATCTAGTGCCCAACGATGATCAAATATGGACGCTCCGTTAGCTCCGACAAAGACTGGTGTAGGTCAAGTTACTTGTTGTAACGATGTCAGATGGGTCTCACGATTTATAGCTGAAGAGACTTTTTCTCAACACATCCTCGTTCGTCTTTCTACAATTCCAAAAAATCGTGAAGTAGCGAAGAACAGATCGCTGGTCTGGACTCTCCATGTGACGTTATGTACGACTTGGAGACGATAAGTAGCACCTGGCTTCAACATGCGTGTGGAGGTAAGATCAGCACCGCACCCAGTGAATGTTCGCTGACTCAGCTGCATACTTTTCGATGTCATTTTTATTTTTGGAAGACAGCGTCGACGTAACACCGCATGACAGGAGAAAAGATAACTACATAATCACGTTTAGTGAAGATCGCTCACGTATTGTCTTCCTCGTAATTTTGTCTTGGCCATCATCATGACCAAATTGTTGCTTCGATGAAGGCGTAGCTCTTCGCCATGGACGCCCTTTAACGACTCTCAAGCGCGACTGAGAATCCTGGAATAGAAGCAGCTTGTCTATCAAGACGTCACGCTATCCCTGCCCGTCCTATCTAGCTTACGAGCACGACTCAATGGGTGCCGTTCGTAACATTCATGATTCGTCGTGTTTAAGCTTGATGTGCTTCTTTTTGTAGCTCACACCCCCAGCGACTGTGCCTACAATCAGCGCTCACGGGCAAGGTGTGCACGTCTCAAATTGTATAAACCAGGGTCATTATCACGTTGTAATTGACTCTTTCAGCAGCTTTTGACTGACCGAAGGACGATGAAAGCAACTAGTTTTCGTACACCGATGCGGATGGCGAGAGCTTCACGATGAAAGATTCTAGCCGGTCAATCGAAAGGTAGAGAAGGACGAGCAGCTTACAGCAACAAGCTCAAATACAAGAAGATATACTGATCCATAACAGCACGAGGTACCCCATTATTTTGCAGAGAAAAGCGCATCCTAATGCTTCGTCAGGTACGATACCACGTCAATTTGTGGTAAGCCAAGCACCGACCATACTAAGGTGAACGCTCGTTCACGCGACACTCTGTCCGCTCTTCATCCGGTCCGACATGTATCGATAGATCGATTGTATATCGGTCGCTGTGATGTCTGCTACAAGTAGAAGTACATCGAATCCAAACATGACGAAGCATGCATGTTACAAACCCATCCATGTAGCCGGTCTCGTACGCTAGATAAGACGATCAACGCAACGGCCAATAATCGGATATACGAACGGCGGGATAGACATTGTGTCATTCAAAGGCAGGACAATCGAGAGTACTGCGGCGCACATGCTAGTCGTGTGGCTACTCTCGTCGAGAGTCGTGTTGCTGGCCATGACACGAATTGTTTGGCTTCGGTATTCAGGTATCCCTTGATAGCTGTATCGGCAAGCTAAGGCCAACGACGATCTAGAATTCGTATGCGAATTTCGGTTGTTAGGCGATGAGGACTCGGAGACATGACCTGCACGTCCAGCTGCGATGGGATCACATCGGGGAAAGTATTGTCCAGCGTGACATTCGCAGTCCACTTCACGATAATATCTCATGATGTTTGTCGATACCGAACAAGCGCGTAGTCACGAAAGGAACACGGTGATGATGATGCGTGTTGTGCCCATTAGACGTACTATACGTTTTGGAACCGAGTGGGAGGAGGCTTCTTTTTGTACAGAACAGCGAGTGCAGGAGTCGGCAAAGCGGGGTACAGTGACCCGAGAGGTAGCAGTCGAGATGGCAGTAGAGCCTCAACCTCAATAACAGCTGATCATGATGACGACACATTCGCGCCTCTCCGCTGAGCCATGAACAATCTCTTTGCACACTTTTTCATTACGTGGGGGAAATTTGAATCGAGTTGGGTTTAGCACCGGCAACGTTCATCCTCTCGGCCGTTTCAATTTATGTTGTCGACTCCTGCTTTTATTCGCACAGTCCATAACTGAACTCTACAACCCACTGCACGCAAGCATTGTAAGCGCCAATGAGCAGACACAAAGCGTAGGCTTGGGTATGACTGCCTGCGTCAGGCCTTGACGTGAAACAGTAGCGGTCATGTTGAACTCCACTGGTACCTCGCCATCGCAGGCAAAGACTCTGCTCCCTGCCACTCGTTCCCTACCCTCCAACTTTATAAGCAGGGCACGGCAGCGTATCGTAAAATGCTGCAGATGGATGGCAAGTAATAACACGTACACTCCGGCTACAAAGTGCGGATGCGGCAAGACGAACCGATCTCATCGAGGCGCGTGATCCCGTCTCGAAAAAAAGACTGTTGCTGCCGACAACGACATCGCACTAGCCATCTACGTGGAGCTAAGGCGCGGACGACACTTGCTGAAATCGAAGGTTACGAGCAAAAAGACGTGTCGACACAAGGTGCAGTCGCAGCCACTGCTCAGTGAGTAGCTATCGAGAGTAAAGACGTTGTGGGAGCGCCGGTAAGTCGGATCGACTCCAGCTGCCTCTTTCCTTCCTACAATGACAGCGCTTCGCTTCCTTAACGATCCAATTGGCCCTCGAGTCACGACGGCCTGACGTTGACCGAACCGATCGATCCCACCCACCCCCAACACGCTGAACAACAGCCAATACACAGTGAGAGTGTGTCACGAGAACACGTCTCAGTCCATACAAACGCAAGGCCTCAGACCCATTACACACACTTTCACACTCTTCCACTCACATACGTATGTAATGGACGTGCGCGATTGGAAAATCCACTAAAAAGTCACTTTCGTCGTCACGCCATCGCCCAATCGCTCGACTAGCGGCGAAAGTCACTCACTCTCGAAACATTTGGCCGTCCGACTTTACCACTCGCTCTCTCTCACTCACTCTCACTCTCTCACTCTCTCACTCTCTCACTCTCTCACTCTCACTCTCTCACTCTCACTCTCACTCTCTCACTCTCACTCTCTCGTTTGTGTGATTGATTCCCAACAGTTCCACTCGGAGCTCTTCACGAAGGCGCATCTCCTCATGCCGTCACCTTTGCGCCCGACCCGAAGGACGTCGCCGTCGCCACCACAAGTCACAAACCAATGCACGTGCGCCGTCGAGAGGGCGTCAGACGCCGACTGCAGCGACGCGGGACGCAGTGGCAGAAGCAGTGACGCGACCAGTGCACAGAGCTCCACGCGGTCGTCTCACTTCCCTGTCACCGCAGCAGTCGCACTGGAAAACGAGCGCCAATCGCTGTCGCAGCTGCAGCGCTGTCGCGACTCGTGGCCGCCGTCTCGAGCGCTGCACAATGCGGAGGCGCTCCGACAGACACTTGTGCTGGACAATGTCTTTTGCAGCTGCTACGACGTCGATACGGTGCTGAGCGCTGTGCAGCGGCGAGACGACTGCGGCCGCTTTTCGCCCGTGCAGAAGCTGCTGCTGGAACCCCAATCGATCCAACAGGTGTTTACCTACGCCACGTCCCGTTGCAACGTGCTGTCCAGAGCGGAGGAAAAGGAACAACTCACCCAACCGCAAACACAAGACGAACGAGGGCAAAAGACCGGTACAGTCGACAGCTACCGCCGGGCGTTCGTTGCTACGAAGATCGTGCTTGGGTTTTACCGGAAAGCTGTGGCGTGGTACGGTGAGCCGAAAGGTGAATGGCCGGACAACGGGGTAGATACAGAGGTGGAAGCAGATGCAGAGCACGAGTCGGCATTGCGGCCCGCAAGTGTGGAGGCAATCGAACGCGCGCTGTCGTTGACGCGACCGCGACCAGGTCCTGTAGCCACGTCGATTGACTTTCGAAATAGTACGTCGACGCGGAAAATGGCGAGGGTCCAGCGTTTACGAGCGAGCATGAGGTTTGAAAGTTCGGGCAGCAGCGTCTCGGATTTTAGTGTGAATGGCGACGAGGATGAAGACTTGTTGGACGACCCAAGTGCACGTGGGTACGTGCTGCGCCTTGAAGATTTGACTGTGATGGCGTGGAAAAGAATTTTTGGCGGTTTGTTCCAGTTTCTTCAGCCAAGAGAGAACAATGATGGCGAGGAAGGTGTAGGGCACTACTGCAGAGTAGATGATGGCGCGGAAGTTGACGGGATCTTGGTGGCCAATCTGTGCAAGATCGTCAAGCATTTCGTCATTTTTCCCGCAGTGCACAGACTAATTTGTGACGAGGATGAAGCAGACGAGAAAGAGTGGTTGCTGGCGTGTTTAGCAGCGCATGTGTACAACCCGAATATTGCCTCACTGTTGCATGGATTGATCCACCTCTCAGTCCGTCGAGGTTTTGACTGTTTTCCGATCATAAGCTGCCTGGTCGAGCAGATTGTGGAGCAAGTACCCATTCGAATGAGCAGATCGTTATCCTCTGTGTCGTCAACGTCAACGGTCTCGTCTACACCGTCAGCATCTCCTCGCTTGTCATTACGTGGGTCGCCAGCTACATCGTCACCGTCATTTTTTCCATCCAAGACCACACCACTGTCTTCAGCGTTGTTTACTACGAACACAGCGTCTACAGCTCATGTAAGAATAAGTGGAAGTGTAGAAATTTTGTCGAAAATCTTGAAAGACGAGTTTCCGAATACGTTTCGGTACTACACTCAAACGAAAGTCCAGCTCGCGTCATTTGAAAGCGTCGAGCCGTTTGAACGAGAACTGTTTCCCACAAGGACCACTCCCAGCGATCCTGCCGTGCACCTGATATTGAAGTACGCTGTTCTGGCTTCTCTGACGGAAAACTCCACCGTTCTTGCTCGAATGGCGGAACTAGGAATGGCCGAACTACGCTTCTTGGATGCCCATTGCATGAATGGAGCAAGCATACCAAGGGTTCTTGTGATCGACGTCCTACGCCATGCTATTGAGTTTTCGATGTTATCCGAGCAGCAAGAGCTTTTCGTACCTTCGATTCATCTTGTTCTGGATACCGTTTGTGCGCTGATCAATTACCATCAGCATTTATCTACGATCTCAGAATACGCTGCACGTGACTGTTTCAGTGACAGTGACTCGGACGATGGAGACGCAGCAGATGAGGCCAATTTCGCTTCTTTTGCCCATCTTATCGAACAAGATTGCCCGGGTAAGCTATCAAAATGCGACACTTGGCCGGCCCGGAGTGCGCTGTATACAGGATTGATGCCACCAGCGATCAGCTCTTCGTCAACTCCTGGAAAACATGATATGAACCTTCGCCCGTTGGCGTCGACGCTGCTGGTCATGCATGTCGTCGATTTACTGGATGTCGTCGTTTTGATGTCGAATGATCGCATCGACAGCCGATTAGCTCGACTGGATCTCGCAGCGTCACTGATGGATGTTTTCGAGAAGTTTCCTACCGCCAGCATTTTACATTGTAGGCTCGTGAACTTATACTTGGATCTTCTGAATCGGTCGTCTACGAATGAGCGTTTGAACAATCCGCTACTGCGGAGTGTGTTTCGCTCACCTGGTTCGATCTTGGAGTACATCTTGCACAAGTTGGACGCAAACACTTCGTCTCACGTGTACGACGCCCATCTAGCGATCATTGGAGTAAAGATCGCAAAGATTTGCAGCTCGCCCATGCTGCAGCAGGAATTTATTTGCCAGTTCTGCAACAACGTGAAGGGCTGGAATGATTTCGCTTCGTCACTTATCGCTACGCATTATCAGCAGATGGACGCGTTGGATGATTCACTGCTTGTTTCACAAATGGTCAATTCTGGCGCCCGCAATGGGGCCTTGAGAGATAACGCAGATACAGGTTTTTTGCTTGCTCGTCCGTCTTCCTCTGCCAGTGAGTACCTGTCCAGAGAGCTAGAGCCGTTCCGACGTCTTCCAATGGAAAAAGAAGGCTTCGGCGCGGCTCACAACGTGGCTCGCGGCAATGAGACGGTGCATCCCAGTGATATGTTCCAGAGCCGGTCACAGAGCAAATTCCCAAAATCAATAGTTGACATTTTGCAGTCAGATGAGTCGACATCTTTTGATGTTGAAGAAGACGATGTTTGTATCAGCGGGTATGCTTATCAAAAGTGCTCGAAATGGGCCAAGGTGCACCTGAAGTTTGACAAGTCCACATGTCAACTGATGGTGCGAGACGTCTCAGCTGCATCGTCCACGTTGCCGAGCAGACGGGCGTCGGGAGCAACTCCACCGTCGACAACGTCATTATTTCAGCAATTTCTGATGGCACAGAAACAGGCATGGAAGTCACGGCCCAAGACGTTAGTGGTGTGCAACGCACGCCAATGGATTGCTTTCCGTCGAAACATTAAGAAACGGGACCATAGTGCATTCGGCTTCCAGGTCGATGTGTTCGACAGTCACCGCGAAGAAGATGAAACTCTGACGTTTGTGACACGGTCTGATGCTTCGAGGATGCGGTGGTTCGAGGTTATGCAAGCCGCGGTCATCACGACACGGACGTTGCGCAACAGCTTTTGTGATACTGACGAGGCTGCCAATATGATGCTGGTTGAGCGCGTAGCAAAGAGTTGTGGTGGGTCGTATTCGGTCGTGCCGGATGTCAATCAATTGAGGCCGGTGATTTCGACCAGTTTTTCCCTCAAATCCGAGGTGCCTGAAGAGATGCCGTTTTGGGGAGTATACCATGGAGACCTGGGTATCATCAAATACGCGTCATTGTTTAGTCAGTGCCTGGACGTTGTCTCAGTCGACGGGAAGAGTATCCAAGCAATTGGTTACTCAGTGATCGTAGAGTTTGACGCCACATTTTGTAAATCCGAAAACATCGCTTCTTTGGATGACTCGGAGCCACCTCTGGTCAATTGTGCTTGTACCGACACGTACTTGATCAGCGGCAATCAGATCATTGGTCTGACACGCACGATTGCTGACTCAGAGAAGCTGTTGCAGCTCTTCTGCGACGACGATTAAGAGAGACGATGCAATCGGGCTCTTTGGTGTACATGCGATGTCGAGTCGTTATCTATCAAGAGTCACGCGACATTACCATAACGGTCGAGCCGACCATTTGTCATCATGGTCGGGCTGACCACCACGCGACTGTTTCGAGCCCGTCGTCAACCCTTTCGACTCGTTTAGCTGACAACACCATCTAAGGTCACCCACAGCGCGGCCGTGCGAGATCGCCGCTGTCAATCGAGTTGACCTTCATGGCGATAAAAAAAGAAAATGGCTGCATTCGGCCGACTTCTGCTTTTCACGAGCTCAGCAGATACGCTGCAATCTTCTGACGGCAGCCGCCCGGTGGTCGAGCGACATCACTTGCGCTGCACTTCATCTGTTCGTGGTCAGCTAAGTTAATGAGTTCATGCTGCTCTTCGAACCAGCGCATGCCAGCTGTAGTCCGATTGATTGTCCAGCGCACAAGATTGCTGATGTCCATATTTCGATAGCACCAGTGCAGGAGCGACTGTGGGATTCGTGTCTTTTGCGTGGCATACTTTGACGGGGCGCCAATCATCGGTGGAGACTTAGTGCGCATACAGCACTAAGTGGTTTTGCACTTTCAGCGTCATGAGATTGCGCAGCTGATGTGGGAGTGTATCAGGGTATTTATTTGGGGCGAGTAAATATACAAAGTGAGTCCGCTTCGATTTTCACCCCGACCGCGACAATACGGGAGGACTGCGTGGTGGCATTTGGCAAAGCCATCGCACTCATTGAGCAATAATGCCGGCACGTTCAATGTGTCGTTTCTTGCGAATACTTGTGTCCGCGCCGATAGTCGCGTCAATGCCATGACCTTCTTAGCTTTGTCCTCCAGCAGAGTTTTGTTTTGACAGCACTGCCGTGTCAAAACATTGAGACTGCGCGATAAGTATCGAGGAGCTTGGCGCGTCAATGGCCACGGGCTTGTTCATCTTGCTTGAACAAAGCTGACGATCGTTATGCCAATAAAGAAGCATGTCGTCCAGATGCCAGACTTCATGGAGTGATCACATCGCAATGAGTATTGCTGATTCCATATCAGTCTCATCTTCCCAATTACTTGCCGTATGTGTGAAGAAGTCAACATTGGGTTGACTTGTGTATCGTGAACGAGTGTATTTGACAAAGCTGGATAGACGCTGTTGGCAACGAAGCCCACATTGGCACGCAAGCGACCGCGGCATCATCTCGATGCTCGTCAAAGACGTATGATAACGTCGCGCTGCCTACCGCACTTGCTGATTGCTGCTGCATGAAGCTTGCGCAACATGATAATGGCTGTCTTATTGTTCGTGGTAGCCTCAACACGAGCTTGTGCTCGTCTATTCTGCAGCTTCTTCGTCGTCTCAGTTCGAAGAAAGTATCATAAATTGGATCCACACCATAGAGATAGCGAGCGTCGAATGACTGGACTTGACGGACGTAACACAAACCGGACAAACAGCATATGCGCTGAAACTGCAGCCTGCGGCCACGCCAACCGTAGGCAAACAGCTCACGCGATTACGACACAGACATAAGAGAAGTGAGTGTGCTCTACACACCGCTGCAGCTGCTGAGTAAAAGACTTGTGGAGAGTCGTGGAATGCCATCGCTGCAGACCGCGACCACAATTCTCCCATCAGACTTCGTCATTGATCACGAGCAGTCCTTTGTCGGCCACTAGAATGGCTCTTGTTCGGTAAGTGAGACGCAAGTAGCTTGTACTGACAAATTGCATTTGGCCGCGCGGCGGACAAGCTAGTGACCTGCCTGAGGGTTTTGATGAAGCAACGTAACACTCGTTTGGATCACGCATCATTCTCCATCAGCTCGTTTGAATGCAGCGCTGGTGCATTATGTACGTGTTTCCTTACCGCGATATTGTTCTCATCGTCGCCACAACAGCCCGCCGACTGCACGAAGTGTTTTATCCGAATGTTGGAATCCGCAGCAGCTTTCATGTCGAGCATTTCATTCTCACATCCGGCCTTCAACGTATTGCTCTTTCAAGCAGATGCAACCGTCGGGGGAACAAATGAGCACGAGATTCAGTGACGCTTCAGGCGATTGGAGCACACACAGCTGTGAAAGCGCTGCCACGAAGACACGAGCGAGCATTTTATGACAGCGAACGACAGTGGTTCTGGGAGGATCGGGAGGTCTGCGGCCGTACGCGGATGAACAATAGTAACGTCATGCGGTGCCGTCCAAAGATGCAGAAAGAGAGCTGTGCACCCATTCTCTCAGCACCATGTTCCAGCGAAAATTACCACGAGTGAAACTGAGGCCAAGCTGCGTGCCGAACGGACTTCGTGCTTTTGCACAACTGGAAGTCTTGCCGGGTTGTGGCGACTCTCGTCAACAGGTTCGAGCAATATAGTTCAGCTTGTGGACTCAACTAACCAGGCGTGTACGTTTTCTGTGGCATGCCATCATGCAATGCCTTGATGCTCCCGCCAGCTAAAATCATGAACAGTCGCATCGTGCTTTCATCGATCAAGCTATTGTCTTCGAGTAAAAAGACTTGAGCTTGATTTGCCACTCCGCTATAAAAATGGTGTTGTCGCTTCGACAACCCATGCCTGAAACAAAACAGTAAAGATGTAGCTTGAAGGTACGCAATTCACTGTCGTCGGTTCAGCAAATTCATGTACCACCCATTCCTTTCACAGCAAGCCCATGTATATCTTTTCCTGTGCCAGAATACATGCTCTAGCGGACCGTCAGTACAAACAGTTCCAAGGCCAACCTACACCCGACTTTATGGTACAATCACTACAACAAATCTAATGCGAACGGGTCGCGATCACCGCGTGACACAACGACGAATGAAAGCGCTGCGAAGAAGTCACGACAAAGTCCACCTACACCATCGAACACAGCAAGCACATAGAGTAATCAGCATCCACACACAATCAGCATTCGTGTGCGCAACAAAGCGTGTGTCACCATCTCGTGAACCATGGGTATACGCCCACTATCCAGCCCTTCTTGATGGAAAAAGCGTTTTGCCTCCACAGCGCGATCGACTGTCGTTTCCCTGTACGCCAAACTATCAGAGAACGAAAAATAAAGGTAATGAGCATTTGATCAGCAACACGCTTCGAACACAAACCAATTGCGCACTCGAGTGCAGGAGCAAAACCCGTGTTCACGCAGCCACGGCCAAAAATGTAGCGGTACGCTTGCAGCAATAGCTTGATCTCGCTTCGTAACACTCCGGCACGACGCAAGCCGACAAGATTCAGTCCGACTAACTTTGCTCGATTGCCCATGACTAAGCCATACGGCAGCACGTCCCCGTCCACTGCACTCTGTCCGCCTACCATGGCCAGCGGACCTACAGTCACGTGCTGCTTGAGCCCCACTTGTCCACCAATAACCGCTCCGTCTCCAATCGTCACATGTCCAGCAACGCACACGTCGTTCGAGACGACAACTCGTCTCTTTAGCTGCGCATCGTGCGCAATGTGCGCGCCACAGAGCAGCCAGCAATCATCGCCGATCGTCGTCGGACACGACGAGTACGACGTGCGGCCATGAACGGTCACACGCTCGCGGACTACACAATTGCGACCAATCGTGAGCGTCCACTCGTCTGCAGCTGCTGCAACATCCAAGTCATGTTTCTTGTCCTGCGGGGCGCCTCCTAGACTTGCAAATGGGTACACTATAGTGCCACAACCAACGCGCGTTTTGCCGTCGATCACAACGTGGCTCTGTAGATGGACTCCTTGTTGCAGCATCACGTCTATTGTCAAGCAAATAAAAAAACAAAAGGTTTGCAACAAAGTGAGTTCAATGTCCCCTCCGACGGATGATCGATTTATAAAAAGCGCTTTGTTTGCAACCGGGGCCAACCACGCAGTACGGGCCAATCACCACGTCGGGTCCGACGTCTGCGTGCGGATGGACCAGTGCTGTCGCGTGGACGTTCGGGACTCTCTCTACGGGACAGCCAATCGCCACGAGCCGCAGAGGATCGTCCATGTGACGAGCGCATTGCGGCGTTGCGTGTCCCACGAGCTCGTCGAGCACTTCGGCGGACGCTGCAGACTAAACACGCCGTGTGTGTTCAGTCCACGTGAATGGGAGAGAGAGAGAGAGAGAGAGACGTAGTGGAGCGACTAGCGACGTACGAGAGCACAGGCGGCAGAAGGACGCGCACGACGGGTCGACGCTGTGAGGCGCGACCACTGAAACATAACTGACGAGGCGGAGGTGGGCCCGATGGCTGTTGCCAGTGTGTCGCACGAGTCGTTTCTAAAAAAGCACGTTATGTATCCTGCCAGGATTGCACCTCGTTTTTGCTCCTACTACAAAACGATCGTTGGGCTAAACTTCCAATTGAGTTGTTGTTAAGCCTTTCCCAACACTCATAAACGATTGAGTGGGCAGTGGGTGTAGCAAAAGCCTTTCGTATCGTTACCAGCGTAGCTTTCTCGACGTCATTTGCTGCATGTCACGTAATGATGAGCTAAGAAACAGAGCTTTTTGCGGATGGACGTGTTGGTGTCAAGTCTGCATGGTCGATAGCAGGGCAAATTTACGGAATCGAAGTTCAATGCGTCGTCGACTGTCTTCTACCTCAGAAGAAAGTTGCTCCGTGTCAGGATACGCACAATAATCGTACAGACCCCTGTTCGCATGTGCAGAAGGACAAGGACAATACTTGATGCACGGCAAAACCTTAGCATAGCTGTACTCACGACTCGGGCTTGTTGTCTGATGGCCGCTCATCAATATCTAGACGTGCTCAGGGCTATGCAACGTCTCTCGCTCATGTTCACTGTTTCTGCCATCAGCATACAGTCGATGCGTTCGTACTGACGCGGCAGAGCCCCAACGTTCTTCATCCCCACGTGACCATTGTACTTGCCGCTCAGCTGCCGCGTGGTTGTCATAACGTCGTAGCTCTTACGTGTTTCAGGTATCCGTTATCCAGCACAAAAGCTCACGTCACGAACTTGCGCTGTCAATCGAAAAGATCCCCGTTCGTCCAATGTGTAGCTAAGCTGTCACTTGCAGGAGCGGTACCACCTCACAGTCAGTCACTGCTACTTATTAAGCACAGCTATCGCATTGTCGAGCACGCCGCGCCAACTCGCGAGTGATGACAACTGCAGGGCCACTGCTCTTCGCCTGCAGTACTCCTGACCATTTCCCAAGCCATTCGGTGTGACGATAGTTGCAAAACGTCTCACAATGACACGGACGCTATTGACTGCGATACGCACGGCCGTGTGTCATCTATCCGTTCGTTGGACCTCCTTCATCTCGAGTGCGTACTGGTCTTCAACTTCATTCAGAAAGTGGTCAAACAGCATGACCTGCTTGCTCAAGTCTTCTGTTCTTGCACACCACGTACGCCCAACATGACACATAGTCGACAACGTATCGTTCTCTCCTGCACTTCACGTTTGCCCGCATCCGATCCCTCTTAGCCACCACAACGTTCAGAAACACTTCCATCCAGCCTTCATGCACCACTCCAGGCGACCATTCGTAACGGCTGTTCACTTGAGCTTTGTATGGTGAAGCCACCTCCTTGACCCGAAAATCACTGGCTGGCGACATTCGCCTGCACATCTTCAATGGCAGACACCTCGACGTATTTGCTCCTCACTCTGCGTGGGCTGGAATTCCTCGTTGAAACCGAGATCCGCTCGAAGCTTCAAGTCGAAGGTCTGGAAATCTGCAGTGTCCAGGAACATGCTCGTCCGCCGTATCTGCAGGTGATGCAGGGCCAAGCTGCAGTGGGCAAGATCGTCCTAACGACGCAGTCGTCGGCTGCCGAAGTTCAACAACTGCGGTCCGTGCAAGCGACGCTGGCGTTGCTGACCAAAAGTGATGACATTGATACGGAGAGTAGTTCTGGTGTCGAGCAGATTGGGGTGAGGAGCGACGTCTCTGACTGCTATGGCGATATGTCGTGGACTAACGATTGTCTTTTTCTCGACTGTGTAGCAACTCCTGATGAAGTCAGATTGGGACGCAGCAGTCAGGTTGTGGAAGGCCCATGTCGGGCAGTCGATAGCCGACAGTGCCATTACATTCCGGGGCTCTTGTGTACGCGACGGCAAGCACGTGTACAACTCACAAACCGTTGCAGGTGAAGTCGGTGCACTTGTGGCGGAGAAGTTTGGCTGGAGCGTGGACCTGACTGCGTTTGACCTTGAAGTGGTCATTGTCATCTTCCACAATTTCATGGTGGCCGGCATCGCCTTGGCGGATCCTCGCAAGGTCCAGTTTCGCAACCGATTAGCAAACGAAACGCGCAATGCGCTAGCGGATGCCCACTGTGTCTCCACTTTGCGTCCAAGTACGGCATATCTGATGCTGCAGCTTGCAGAGAACAGATACGGCGATGTGGTGCTGGATTCCATGTGCGGAGTCGGCACTCTTCCGATTTGTGCGACGGACTTTACGAACGACAGCGTCTACGCTCTTGGCGGTGAGCTGGACGAGTTGCCAGTGGGGAAGGCCGGCCAGAATGCACTCACTCGAGCACGTCCCGTGGACATTGCGCGCTGGGATAGCACGCGACTGCCTCTGCGAAGCCACAGCATTGACAGGGTTCTGATTGACATGCCGTTTGGCGTTCTCTGCGGGAATCATCGCCGGAACAACAGGGTACGTGTTGCAGCATCCGTTTTGTCCACAGCGTTCCAGGATACACGTTTCTTGATCTCGCTTTACTGTTCAGATGTATCCGAAAGTCTTCAAAGAGCTTCTCCGTGTTCTTCGTTCGGATGGTCGAGCAGGTACGATAACCTCGTTCACGGTCTGTCATGACATACTGACACTGTTGCTAACATCAATGTACGTTTACTGTACCTCGTACCTTGTTGTTAGTGCTACTGGTCATGTCCAAGAAGCTCTTCAAAGGCGCCATCAAGGATCTACCGTTTCGAGTCGTGGCTGAGCACATGGTGAGTATTGGAGGTCTGGGCGGCGGCATTTACGTTCTCGAGCCCAATCCGTCCGACGCATCGCAAGTGACCGAGGTTGAAAACATTCCGAAGTCCCCAATTCGTCCGAAAGGTGATGTTAAAGGTGCCTTCGCATAGACCTCTTGCATTCACACATCACCTACTCCCGCATGGTCCCTAATGAGCCCTTATTCCATACCGCTTGATGCTCGGCAACCACACACGTGCACTGAGCTATCCATCATACTGCGCTGCGATAGAGCACACAGGTGATTATTATCTGACGATCATCACGCTTCGCGTGTTACATCCTCGGACGCAAAATTTGCAACGCTGCAACGACACTGTTCATGATCGTGGATTGTCGTGCCCTGACAATGTCATGTTTTCTTCACAGGTACCTCTCCAAAAAAAGTCGATTTGCACTTGGAAAAGAGAAAACTCACAGGGGTTACTTGGACAAAGCGTCAGTTCCTTTGGACCAGCCTGACTGCTTTCGAAGACGACTGCTACGCTTTCGACATACGTGCGTCTCCACTCCATCTCTTTGTAAGCGGCAAACGTCTGATGTATAAACTTCCCTGAAAACCTCATTGAGTCGACGATCGGATTCCAGACACGAGTCGAACAGGCAGTGCGGTGTAGTTACAGGTCAAAAAAGTTTTGTGTCGTGTGCCGAATGGCCGGCACTTCTACCCAATATTGCACGTGGACACTGATGTGAGTACATTTGTAAGACTAATGGTACTACCAGCAAATGTGTACTGACTCACTTCAACACTAGTGGTACATTCGCAAAACAACTGGCGCGCGAACACTTACCTCGACATTTGCTGGTAGTAGTCTCCGAATGTACCGCAAAACGTGCTTCTTTTGACGGCACGACTACACCTCTTTTACGAGTACATTCTAATTGTGGCAGAATTATTTTCTGTCTACGCAGGCAAAAGTACATTGTCGAATCGGTGCCAAACGATCCTCGAGACTTGCAATGATTGCCATGCGCCCGCTATTGACCATTTGCTTGCCACGTCCTTCGGCCATATTGCTGACAGGTGCTGTCTTCCGTTTTGCTGGGTTTGTGTCGTGAATCGCACTGTTTGCTTCTGCGCCAACAACAAACAGGATGCTTTGTCTTCCACACAATCACTCGCTCATAATGCAAGGCCGACATCTGAATAACGAGTACGCACAGAGTCACGACCCGTGCATAGCTGCAGATCGAAGTGAAGTGAAGCATCCAATCGACACATTTTGCAGCCGTGCCTTGCCACCAATTCTCGGAAACTCCAACACTTAGGACAAACCCGAGTCTCACATTATAGCAGTGACCAAAGATAATTACAACACGATTCTTCCGCCAATCCGGTCGATCCCAAATGTTGGAGGCTCGCTCGGACCTACGAATGTTATTTAGTAATATGCGAATTGCTGTTCTCTTGTACATTCATCGGCTATGATTGCACTCGTGACGTCTCGACACGGACCAGTCCACATAATTTATGCCACATGTCGATGGTCTGTACGCAACGTAGTGGCCGCAGTTGACAATACCTATCTCCATTTTATATCAAGCCAATCGCACACGCAATGTAATGATTGCAACCGCTTTTGGCATGCAAAGGATGCAATACTCGACGCCGATCGTTTTGTCTTGCGTACGGTCAACAGCGCGACGGCAACGGCAGTAGGCTAGAAGAAAAAAAATAGACGCGAACAACACTTACGTGGTACAACTCGAAGCGACGTGGCTTGGTGAACAAAGTAACCTCATTAGGTTCCCGGATCGTCATCACGTCTTGCCGCGCGCGTCTGTGCTTCATGATCATCACCGCTCCACTTGTTATAACGTTTCATGGATCCGTATGCCAGCAATGTCGGTGCACAAGATTGAACAGCTTTGCGAATGAACTTCATCGAGGTAGCGAGTGACGCTTACATGGTGTCACTTACAAAGTCCCGAGGCAAGTTGGTCAGTGACCATCGTGCAGTCAATTGTCAACGTTGGAAGTCACTGGTCGTGCAGTGGATTGTCAACGTGGTCGAAACTTCTGCTGTCTCGCAGCAAAACGAGCAGATCGATTCTTGTGGTCGTTCAAACAGCGGCATAGGCTGTCGCTTGCTCGACCACAGCAAGCAGAGCTCATCATGTATGCAGACGTGCATACTCTCCATTCGAGTCTCACACTCGCGCGTAACATGCAAATTGTCGCATACTGAAGCTTCACATCAGACCAAGCCAGACTTGTTTGTGCTCGCAGAGAGGTCCAGGTTCGTCAGGCTTCAAGCTCTTAACTTCGCGGGCAACCCGATCGGCTCGATTTTTCCACATCCGTCGACTCGCACGCCTTTTATTATCGTCGCCACTTTTCGTTAGCAGCGGGACGACTTCGAGCACGTATGCTGCACACTTCTGTTAGCTGGCACACTCACGCCAGCGCATCACTGAACAGAGTTCTGGCATATTGTCAAAGACGCGCAACGCAGTCGTTTGCACGCAATGCTGCCATTCGCCTCGACATTGCGTTCAGATATGAAGCACGGATCTGAGAATGGTGAAGGCTATCAGCATTTGACACGCTCACGATCCACTTTGCAAGTCAAGATACTGCATTTGTGCGCAGCTATGATGAGGCAACATCGACGTCAACGCATTTTGATGAATGCCGTCGTTGGCCCGCCAGTCGCTAGTACACGGCTCATCCCGCATCATCTAGCTCGTCGAGTACAATGAGTATCGTCATGCTTGCAAAAGACTTAACACAAATGTGGTCCGTTTTGGAGTGCGCAGTCTTCCCGGCGGATGAACTCATTGGTAGCGATACGGCGCGAAGCTGATGGGGACGAACGCGTTCGGAAGTGGGATGCACTTCCTACAAGACGTCACACCGAATTCGTTTGCTTCCCGCCACGCTAACGTCTTGCAGTTCTCGATCGTGCAGCAAAACTGGAAAGATTGTGGGTTGCCACGTATGTATACAGCATTGCATAACTGCCATGCGCGTGCGAGTCGACCGTAAGCCTGAGCTACAAAGCACTCGGCAACTGGGCAGGTGCATCAATTCTCGTCAAACTTATTCGACAACCACCCGGGCTCCCATACCGTTATCTTTGCCCGTGGCGTACGCACCAATTGCTGCGACAAGAGCTCGCGCTTTGAGCAACATTTCGTCATACTCCTTCTCGCTATCAGAGAGTGCTACGATAGCTCCACCAGCACCAAGCACGACACTGTTCGGAGTCACAATTGCTGTGCGAATGATCATGTTCAAATCACAGCTGCCATCAATCGACAAGAAGCCTAGTCCTCCGGAATACACTCCACGCGGACCACGCTCAAGCTCTCGAATAATCTGCATCGTGCGCTTCTTGGGCGCACCTGTCATCGATCCACCAGGGAATGTAGCTCGGAGCACATCGACTACATCTACATCCTCGCGTCGTTGGGCACGTACGGTAGTCACGAGCTGATGGACAGTGGCATATGCCTCAACGTCCATCAACCGAGGCACATGAACCGATCCGACAAGTGCTACAGCTCCAAAGTCATTGCGCACGAGATCAGCAATCATCATGTTTTCAGCCCGGTCTTTCTCACAGTTGGCAAGTTCCTCGGCAATGACGGCATCTTCTGCAGGATCACGGCCGCGACGACGTGTTCCTTTGATGGGCTTGGACTCCATCAAGCCATCGGCTCCCATCCGTAGAAATCGCTCGGGCGAAGAGCAGCACACTGCGTATGTATCCTTCGCACCATCAACACTGTTGGCTGCATCAAACTGGGCTGGAGTCTGGAAACGATTGTGCGGGTTGCTGAGGTAAAATCCGGCGTAGGGAGCTGGGTTTTGCTGACGCAGCATACGGTAAAATGCCAGCGGATCGAGTAGAGCATACTCTGCACGCAAGTGGTTCGTCAAACACACTTCGTAGGTCTCTCCTTCTCGGATCAAATGTTGTATCTCATCGATAGCGGCCACATATTGCGCTCGAGTTCGCGACGGGCGGAAAATGACGTCGCTCTTTTCAACGGCGACGTCCACTGATCGTGGTGGACGTGCGTCAGGTATCTGACAAAACTCTTCGCAACACTGCTCCAACCGCTTCTTCATTGCTTGGTGCCAGTTCTTGCTCGCAGTTGCGCTTTCGGCATCACTCTCGCTCAACGTGAGTGAGTAAACAACGCCATCACGATGATCAAACACCAGCGTTCGGTCAGCAAACAGGAACGAGGCATCTGGCACACGCTCATCGCTTACTTCTCCGCAGTCGCCGTCGTATCGTTTCATGCCCTCTCGTTCACTGCCCAGTACTTCGTATCCAATGTAGCCCACAAAACCACCGCGAAAGGCAAAAGGTACTTCGACATTCACGTGTTGATCACGTCCTTCGCTGTCGGTAAATACAATCTCGTGGCAACTGTGTCGTCGTATCATCTCTTGCACATGAGTCAGCACATGCTGTTCAGGAACAATCTCGACGTGCTCGTCGTCAGCATGTGGTCGGCGCCGACGTACGCAAAGCTCCACCTTGACAACGTCATACTCTACGCAATAGCTCAAGGGTCCACTGTCGTCGCCCATCATTGAGCATCGCGACTGCATTGCTGCGCCTGTACTTGCTACTGCATCGTAGTTGCTACTGTCGAGCCAGAACGACCTCTTGGAATCGCCAAACAACTTTGTAAACACGTACTCGGCAAAGTCTAGCGATGCAAGTCCGCCCAGAGCACGCTGAATCACAACACGATAGGTTGGCGCCTGAGGTACGGCCGGGTGCATGCCCTGAGTCTGCGTCGTATCTTTCGTGTTTCTATTGCTGCTGTGGTGCAAATCACACTTCGAGGCGCATCGTCCTAACGTGACGTCCCGAAAGTTCTGAAAAAGCTGGTAGCCATGTTCACTGCACACTGCTTCCGGGTGGAACTGCACGCCAAACTGCTGTTTGGCTCGATGACGCACCGCCATGATCACTCCATCGTCTGTCTGCGCGATCACTTCTAGCTCGTCTGGTACATTAGTCGGGTCAATGACCAACGAGTGATACCGTACGGCCTCAAATCCGTCGGGTACGTGGGCGAAAAGCACTTTCTTCTTTTCGTTAACGCACACCCGACTGGTGCGGCCATGCATGACCTCTCTCGCCCGCACGACCTGACCGCCATACACTTGTGCTAGTCCTTGGTGTCCTAAACACACGCCCAGCACTGGCACTACTGCATGACGGATAGCATCGGCACACATGCCAAAATCGTTTTGCTTGCCCGGATGACCAGGACCGGGAGAAAGGACAACGTTGCGCACCAGCTCCACGTTCTCCGCTGCTGCAATTGCACTCGTCTGATCCACGAAATGATCCCAAGCAGCGGCAAACCGACCGCCAAAGTCGTTGTTCTTGATGACCGTCACGCTGGACGAGTCGCCGCCATTCACTTGAGCCAACATCTGCACGATGTTGTACGTGTACGAGTCGTAGTTGTCAATGAGCAGCGTGACGACACGACGCTGCGGTTTCGCAGCAACGGAAGCCATTTCAGCGGCTGCTGGAGCCAAGAGATCGTCCATAGACGCCACCATTGCAAATGCTGTCGGAGCTCCTCGCAATGGACTGACTGACTGACTGACTGACAAGCTACGTCGGACTCACCTGCTGTTTGCTGACAGCCAATGAGAAAGAGCGATTTAACGCCTTTTACTGCCTGTCACGCGTGACATACGATCGCCATTTGACTGGCGGAGAAGCCTGGCTGCCTTACCACGCAACACTATTGTGTCCAGGCCGCACGACACACTGCAGAGCCTTATGGTACACCCGTGCTGATTGAGTGTTTACGTATACTACAGACCTCATCAAGCAGCAACGACCTCACTCCGATGCTTGACTCGGTTCCGACGTCGTCGCTTCTGTTGACTCTTCGACAACTGGGCGGGTCCGTCGGTCTCCATTGCATCGCACTTGTTGCCAGCTGGCTGCTTGACTCGCTTGCGCTGGAATGCATTGGGCAGCGGGACGTCGTCCTCGTCAACGGTCTCGCGCTTTCGCGTGCCAATGCGCACCAGCTCCACTTCGAAAAACAGCGTCGAGTTGCGCGGGATCTTGTCGCCCTTGCCGCTTTCTCCGTACCCCAGCTCCGGCGGGATCGTCAGTAACCGCACGCCGCCAGGACGCATCGTTGCCATACCTTCTTCCCATCCAGCAATGACCGACCCTGTGCCAAACGTCGTCGTGAGCATGCCCTTGCCGAACACAAGTCCATCGCGTCCCAGTCGCCCACGGTACTTGACCGTAAGCATCTCGCCACGAGACGGCAGCTTCCCTTTTCCAATGCGTTGATCCTGCAAGACCAGCCCACTCTTGGTCGTTACTTCACTGCCAATCACCTGCTCATACGCAGCAGCCAGTGTCTCGCGCGTCTTCGTCTCCTCGTGCTCCTCCGTCTTCTGCTGCTCCGTCTGCTCAACCGCTTTTCGCCGCTCGTCTTTTTTCTTTTGCTTCTCCGCTTTGCGCTTCTCTGCTCGTTTTGTCTCGACGTCCGTCGCATCCACTTGTCCTGACTCGAGCTGAAGCTTCTCCTGCTGTTTCTTCTGCTTCTTCCGAGTCGCAGCGTCCTGTCGCTCCTTCACCAGCTCCGCGAGCCGCCGCTGCTCCTCGTCGATGCGTCGTTGCGCCGCTTCTTTTGCCTCTTCCAGTGCCTTTTCCGCCGCTTCGTGCGCCGGTAATCCTGTCTTCTTGAGCTTCGCCTTGCGCTTCTTCAGCTGCGCCCGACTGAGGCCGCGCACAGGCGTCTCCACCGTCCCGTCGTCCTCGTCCTCTCCTTCCTGCACGCCCTCTTCCATATGGTCTTTTGCACACAATTGGGCAAACAACGCGCCGCCTCCCCCGCTCGAGTGCCATGGATGGTCCACGCCCCAGGTCTGGTCGGCGCGGCCGTAGCCGCCCACGTGCGCGCGCATGTCGGCGGCAAAGCGGCCCGAGCGCGCCCCGCTCATCGACCGCACGCCCTTATTCGCGCCGATCGATCTGTTGCTCGCGACAGGGAGCGCTGCATCGCTCTCGTTGCCGCGCCGCTTGTCGGGTCGACGCATGAGCACCATGAGCTGCGGTCGGGCCAACGTGAGTGGCGAAAATGGCACAAGAACGAGTGAAACGGCACGGGATTGGTGGAAAACACGACCCGGTGCCTCGACCGCCTCCAGTCGAGGGACCAATAGAAACAGCGGAGCGTACCCATTGGCGCATTATCGTCCGACCCGAGTTAACCGACCGGAAGTTCGTGTGGCAGTCTATAGGGTCTGTGCGCACCGGTCGACGGCCTTTTACTTATCGCGTTGTGGCTCTTCTGCTGCTGCTGCTGTTTTTTTACTGCTGCTGCTGCTGCTGCTGCTGCCTCTTGCGGCTGCGTTTGCTGTGGTTATTGTCCATTGCTGTTGCTGCTTTTGTTTGTTTGTAAGTCGCTTTGCAATACGGTACAGTACAACAATAGAAGAAGAAGAAGATAACGAGTTGCAGCTGAATGATAGCGAGCGAATCTCTCGCTGGATGTGAGTGGTGGACGTCCGACCGTGCGGCTAATGTGCGAAATGTCGGGTGTGAACAGATCGCGATCGCGGGATTGACGATCGTCGACAATGGAGTTTGACGAAGACATGTCGGGGCTGCAGATCGAAGACCTGGGCGAGTACTTTTTGCAAACCGACGCGGGCGACAATTGGAAGGGCTTTTCTCTCGGATACACGGATGACGCCTCGCAGTCACGAGTGGAACGATCGAGCGCGACGTTGATGTATGGTTCGGATCGTTTGGCTGCAGCGCTTGCGCCAACTGCTGGAGATACTTCCATGCAGTATATGGCGTCACCGGCACTGTCGAATTTCTCCGACGCGCTGAAATACGGCGATAGAATTGGCGTCGGGTTGGGCTTTGGCGCGCCCACGAAAGAGTTGGCGACGTCGTTCCGGACAGGATGGACTCCTGAAAGTGCCAAAGCTGATGTGGCCATGATGTGTCCGACAGCGAGGGAGGAGATGGAACTCGCCAATTTTAGTCTAGATCACGACGAGACACCGACGGCGTGCGGCGTGTCCGATACAATGGCACCACATGCAGTGGCACCACGTGGCGAACACGTCAAGTCTGCGGCTTTCAGTTTACAGCAAAGTGCGCGGTATCAAAACGTCTTGATCAGCGACGATGATGATGATGATGCGAAAGGTTGTAGAAGGGCCGTCACACCTACGCGGTACGTGGTGTTTTAGCTGCGTGTTCTCGTACCTGTCTTTGCCTCGTTCGAGGACTTGACTAGCGACCCTAGCGATGTTGACTGTATGATTGTGTCGTTTGGTCAGCGTGTGCTCGACTATTGGCAGCGCATCAAGTATCGGTGCATCTTCACCAACGCCAGATGATGATCGAGGTACTCGAAAAAAGTCACGTGAGAAGATGCGCCGTCAAGAAGTGAACGTCAAAGTAGGTCAAGACCTTGTCATACCTCCTGTTCAACACCAATGTCTGTTTCGTTAACGATCATTTGCGCTGCAGTTTGAAAAGCTTGTAGACCTGCTCGGACTATCCAACCGCGTTCGAAAGAGTGCTATTTTGCAGGAAGCTGTATCGACGATTACGTCACTGAAACGAGAGCGGGATGAGTTGCGCCGTGACCGTGATCGTCTACAGCAAGAAGTCAGCAAGTTGGCTACGTTCCTGCAGTACTCACAACTGGGATCGGTGGCTGCCGCCATGGCGCAGCAGTCGAACCAGCAACTTTCTCGCATGACCCCGTCGGTAGAGCAGCTTGATCCGCAGCAACAGCAGCAACAACGAGCAGAAGCTGTGTCAAGCGGAGTGCAGGCGGCGCGCACGCACACGCCCAGCGTTTCGTGTTATCCTGTATGTACATCCATGTACGATCATGCTGGTGTTGCTGTACCTTGCTTCTTACTTGTGCTATCCCGTGTTGTTTGATTCATGCAGGGCGCAACTTGCTTCCCTCTCAGCTCGGCGTTCCCGAATATCGTATCGCAGCTGGGACCACGTTCATCCTCAGCGTCACCAGTGCCCGGTCAAGTTGCTATCGCTCCGAAGTGTTCAAAGCGGACACGTTCCGTTTCAGCATACCCCACAATCGCCCCCGACGTAAATATGAAGTAAGTTAGCAAGTCGTATGACTCAGTGTGTCATCGGACCAAGCACACGATTCTACGAGTTATTCGTACAAGTGCGTACACGCCGCAGAACAATCGCGTGAGAGTATCAAACGGCAGTTTGCGAGTCATCGTGCAAGAAGAAGCGCAGGTGTCTTCTTTGTGCAGACGCCCGATACAAACTCGACGATGTCAGTGCCGCGCAGCTTACAAAAACATCAGTGAAGGGGTCGCTCGCTTGCTGTAGAAGCAAAGCACAGCGTGCTTTCGGTTGTGCAACAACTGGTTATGGAATAGATAGCTGGTCCTGCATGTGATCACGTGAATTGTTGCTGCCAAGTCTTACGTGGACGAGTACTTCGCCTGCTTCAGGTGCCCATTGATGTTGTTGAAAGTCTGTTGTATTGAAGAGCTAAGTCAACAAAGTCGATGCGGTTGCGCTAGTCGGTCACCTGCGAATAGCCGTAGACGTAGTAAGCTCAGCTCGTCAAGCAGATGCTCGAACGAACGCTGTCCTCCCTCAGTCCACGCTTAGTTGCGCGCAGCGTCAAACGTGTCCTTGACCTTGTCCATGAAATCCTCCGTGTACAAGTAGTGGTCCGGAGTCACGTTGGAACCGTGGATGCAAATAGCCAGGTCCTTGGTCATGTGGCCAGCCTCCACCGTCTTGATCACAGCGTCCTCCAGGCCCAGGCAAAAGTCCACAAGCTCCTGGTTGTCGTCGAGCTTGCCGCGGTGCGCGAGACCACGCGTCCAGGCATAGATTGACGCGATCGGGTTCGTGCTCGTTTTCTTTCCCTGCTGGTATTGGCGCCAGTGGCGAGTGACCGTGCCGTGCGCGGCCTCTGCCTCCACTGTCTTTCCATCGGGGGCAACCAGCACGCTGGTCATCAGGCCGAGCGAGCCATAGCCCTGGGCGACAATGTCTGACTGGACGTCACCGTCGTAGTTCTTGCAGGCCCAGACAAAGCCCCCTTCGCTCTTGAGAGCTTGGGCGACCATGTCGTCAATGAGACGGTGCGTGTACGAGATCCCCGCCGCGTCGTACTTGGCCTTGAACTCGCTCTGGTACACCTCTTCAAAGATGTCTTTGAAGCGACCGTCGTACTTCTTCAGGATCGTGTTCTTCGTCGAGAGATACAGGTCCTGGTTCTTGCTCAGGGCGAACGAGAGACAGCTCTTGGCAAAGCCGTAGATGCTTTCGTCCGTGTTGTACATGGCCAGCCCAATGCCAGCGCCTTCAAAGTTGTACACCTCCAACGTCGTCTTCTCACGCCCGTCTGCGGGCGTGTACACGACTTCAAACTTGCCCGGACCCGGCGCCACAAAGTCCGTGCTCTTGTACTGATCGCCAAAGGCGTGCCGGCCGACAACAATGGGCTTCTGCCACCCCGGCACGAGCCTCGGCACGTTCGAGATGACAATGGGCTCGCGAAAGACAGTCCCGTTGAGGATATTGCGGATCGTTCCGTTCGGGGACCGCCACATCTTCTGGAGCTTAAACTCCTCCACGCGCTGCTCGTCCGGCGTGATCGTCGCGCACTTGATGCCCACGTGGTGCTCTTGGATCGCGTGGGCTGCGTCGATCGTCACTTGGTCGTTCGTGGCGTCCCGATGCGGCAGCCCCAAGTCAAAGTACTCAATGGGCAGGTCCAAGTACGGGTGAATGTACTTGTCTTTGATCTGCGACCAAATGACGCGCGTCATCTCGTCGCCGTCGAGCTCGACAATGGGCTGCTGCACTTTGATCTTCTTCTGGCTCGACGAGGCGAAGCTGCGACGCGCGGGCGCCATCACGGAGCGCACGGTCTTGACAAACATAGTGGGCAAGAGAGAACGAGAGAGAGAGAGAGAGAGAGATGGGAAGGGGTGAGGTGAGATGGAGACAGCAAAGAGGACAGACCGCGGAGGGGGTCTGAGTCCAATTGGGGAGTGGTCGACCGAGAGCTCCGTCACGCGCGACGTGCGGTCCTGGTCTCTGTTGCGACATCAGGAGGCGCTGGGCAGCCACCCTCATCTGGCAACACAACGCGCGACAGGGGGCGACGTGATTGGCTAGACGCTGCTTGAGTCCACGCGAGGGCTCGATCGCGGATGGCTACATGCTGCTTCCCTAGACCCACTCACGAGGCCAGTCGCGGATGGCTACAAACATCGTGCATTTACATTCGATTGATTATAGCGAGACGACCTCTGCATACATGTATCTCCTTCTCTCCATCGATCACTGGCAGGGAACAAAAGCAGACTCCTAAATGGACTGCGACTGAGGCTCCGTGGGCGTGGTCAGCGACGGTAATGGCGCCGAATCCACGGGAGTCATGGGTACTGAGGTCGTCGGACTGCCGGGGCTGCCCGCGCTCTGTGGACTCCTCGGTGACGCCGACGCTGCTGAGCTCGAGGCGGGAGGAGTGTCCGAGCCATTCGCTTTGGACGGAGACGCCTTGAACGACGTCATGGAATTTACCTTTGACCCGGGAGACATTGGCACACCGTCACCGTCGCCAGACCCTTCGATGCACCCCTCGTACTCCTCGTCCTCTTCCTCTTCAAACTCCTCGTCTTCGTGAATTGTGCCCTGCTTAAAGTCACCCGTCTCGTCGTCAAACTCCATGTTGGCCATCTCGGGCTTCCAGTCGCCAAGTCCCTGATACGAAAAGCGGTCAAAGTGCTTCTGCTCGGACGGAGACGATGGCAGCGATACCGGCGAGTCGGGCATGAGCTCTTCACGTGCCTCGCGCAATTTCGCAATGGCCCGATTCAAATGGCTTTCGTCAGTCACGTCCTCCATGCGATGCGGAGGACGCGGCACTTCCATCTCCATGCGCAGCAACTTGTCCCAGTCAATCTCGGTGAAGAACGCATGCTGCTTAATCTCCTCGACGCCGTCGGGGCCACAGCCCAGACGGTGCTCTGGGTCTTTCGTAAGCAGCTTTGTAATCAGATCCTGAGCATCTGGAGTAAAGCGGTCGCTAAACTCGGGCTCTTCCTTCAGGATCTTGTCAAACAGAATGGTAGGCACATTGTGACGGAAGGGCGAGTCGCCCTGAATCATCTCGTACGCCAAGATGCCCAAAGCCCACCAGTCCACGGCCTTGCCATAGCCCTCTTTCATGATCAGCTCCGGTGCCAAGTATTCGCACGTGCCCACGAAAGAGCTCGTTCGCTCATTGTCGTCCATCTCTTCTTTCGACAGACCAAAGTCCGTGCACGCGACATTGCCGTCTGCAGTTATGACAATGTTTTCGAGCTTCAAGTCGCGGTACAGAATATTTGACGAATGCAGGTGCGCAATAGCGAGAAGAATCTCAGCCAGATAGAACCGTGCACGCTTGATGCTAAAACGGCCGCGGCGACGTAATACTTGACGAAGGGAACCGCCGCTGTAATACTCCATCACCATGTACAGTTTGTCTTGGTTTTGGAAAGCGTACTTCAGCTGAACAATGTACGGATGATCAGCCTCTTGCAAAATGCGGCGCTCCGCCATTGTCTGCGTGACCAAATCCTTGTTCATCACCCACTCCTTCTTCAGCACCTTCATCGCGTACAGATGGCCCGCGTCGACGCCATCCTTCTTCAGCACCAAAAGCACCTTACCACACGCGCCACGGCCAATGACCGTAACGAGCTCAAAGTCATTCACCGACATTTTCCCAGGCTTAGCTGATCCACTAAACACACTCTCCTTCTCGCCCGTGCGAACAGCACGCGGTCGGGACCAGTGGATAAGCGAAGGCAGCGCTCGGCATGTCAAGCAAAGACGCACTTGACCTTCGTGGCGTGTGTTCTCTACTGACGAACACTTTTCGCAACACGGGTTCTGACACGTGCGGCAATGCCGGCGCCAACGGCGCATGTTGAACGCACCGTTGCACGCATAACACGACTTTTCCATGCCGCTATTTACGTTTTTCACACGGAAACCAGACCATCTCGCTTTGAAACTCGCGTACACTGACGAGACGACTAGCTGCAGCATGTCCACGTCCGAGTTCACGGAGCCACCCGACAGCACCACGCAACCCAACGGCGTCTCCCTGGACTTCATGCGCTTCAGTGCCTGAACGCCTTCAGATGATGACAGGTACGCAATACACCACTGAGCAATCATCTTCCGCAACGTGTACGAATCCTCCGACGAAATGTGATGCGTAGACTGCAAAAAGGCAACACCACTAATGTGACGCTGCATCTCTTTCATGTGCAATCGCAGAGCTTCGACAAAGAGGCTGCCGCCATCCCGATATGCCACAACGAAAACATGCGTAGCTCGCGAAGTCAACACGTGGTTGCGCCAGCCCGTTATAAATCGCTGCATAGCACTCCTCATCTACGTTCCGAAAGTAATCGACGCGATCATAGACCATCAGCAACCATACCCTGCATACACACGGTACAAACCCACACGTACATCGATTTCTCCGTCCCGCATCGAGTCCTTGAACACGTCGTCAAACAATACGATCCCGAGCTTGTCATCCTTCGCCTTCATCACGTACGGCAGCATCGACCCCAAACTGCCCTTAAAGATACCTCCCCCTTCCGATCCCGACCGCACACACAACCGTGCACTCCAGATCCCAGCTGGAGACCCATCGCTATCGCCAATAAACACGACAAGTCGATCGGAAAACAACGCTGTCCTCGATAGAAAGACACTGCACGTAATCGATTCGTCGTCCTACACACACCACATTACATCCCATCCCATCCATCACCGTCAACAACAACAACAACAACAACAACAGCACCGACAACAAAAAGCCAACATGAGTCCACAACCCGATATCCAGTGCACAATGCAAAAACGACTTTTTGTTGCCACGTCGGACTCGACATCGGCTCACAACTGCACACATTAACGTGACGTACGTGAGACGTTGTGACTTCGTGGAGCGTCTCCATCAGCGTCTGCATCTTTCCCTGCACGTTCTTTGTCGCGGCTTCGAGCAGTCCACCGGGAGGCGGCAGCGGCGGCTCAGGTGGCTCCACGTACGACGACCGCGAGCTCAGCGCGGGCGATACGCAGCCGTCCGCCTCGTCGTCGTTCGGCGTCGAGTTCTGTCGCGATCGGTCGTAGTGACTGCTGTCCAACTCGTCGTGCGAGTCGTCGCCTTCTTCGCCCGTCCCGTGCTCCGAGCGGTCGTCGTCGCCTGCGGAGCTCACACTTCGAGCAAAGATACTGAAGTTCAGTCCCACGCTCTTGCGGCGGACGGCGTCGCGGATGTTACTCATTGCTGCAACGGGCGACTTTTTCATGGCGACAAACAAAGTGCTGTTTGTGGCTGGCCGACAACGCACTTACACGGTCCGACTGTAAAAAGCACTTTTAATTGGGGCGTCGCGTCGCTCGTATCTTGTGGACGCTAGCGGAGCGGGCGATGACGCGGCGCGGTCGGACACCGGACTCGTGGGCTGTTGGGGTCGGTGTGTGTGTGTGTGTGTCGTCGTCGTCGTGGCGAGTGGAGAAAGTGGCGCGTGAACAGGCGGCGGCGCGCGGCAGCTTCGTCTGTGGGCGAGACGACGGCGCCAAATGGGACTCGGGGCCGGATAAGGTTTGCAAAGCACTGGTGGTTTGTATGAATAGAGAGACCTACCCCTTGTGCGCTGCCCATTGCGTGAAAAATCAGGCCTGCGATAAAGAGGTTGCGATTGGCGAAGCCATTTGGCCAGTAAAGACACGACAAGACGCCAGAAAACGGCGCGAGGGGTCTTGTTCGATGCTTGAAGATCGCACGTCGTGGCCAAAAGCACTCGTAATTAAGGGTCGGTTCGATTGTGGGTTGCGGACTGCCATTTTGAAAACTGAATACAACGGCAAAAAGGGCAAAAATAGAGTCGGTTGGACCCAAAAGGGACCATGAGACACCGCGCGCAAGGTGGTTCGACGCTATTCTTGCTGCTGCGACGAACTCGCTTGTCTCCGTTTTTTGCGCACATAAACCGAAAACACTTTTTGGATTGAGGTGCGGCCAAATGCACTGAATCGCCTCATGTCACATGTTGCATTCCCGATAGCGATAGATCGCTCGAACGCATGTATACTGTATTTATGCATTGGTGCAGTTGTGGTCCTGCGAAAGCGCTATCTACCACGTAAGAGTCGACAGTGACACTTGTTGTCATTGCAATCGACCGCATCATGAGCATGCGTCAAAGAGGTGTGTACACGCGTCGTAAAAGCGAATATAATAAGTCTTGATGGGATATGATACAAAAAGAAGAAGAACTAGACGAAAAAGAAGAAAAGCACGACGCGACTCGATCGTCGCATCTGGGTGACCTTGCGAACGGGCTCACGTAGATGGCAAATGTGTCCGCCACGAAGAGGAGCAAAAGTCGCTAAACGAAACAAGTGGTGTTCGGCTCGAAGCAATGCTCGTAATTTGGTCCCTCTCTATGTAGCCCGCATCTTTCCTGTTTTGTCGGTTGACGTTTGTACCTTGCGCACAATTGCCATCGATGTTTCTTGCTTCCACCTCAACGTGCGGACCCCACAACTCACGCTATTGTCAGGCACCGAGATCGCGTCTATTCCGAAACTTTGGCAGTAAGTAATCAATCCAAATGCAAAGCTGTTGTTTTAGCAGCGGTCCATTTCGACACGTCGTATTCAGCGATTCCTCTGCAGGATCAGTCGCTCGCTCGGGATTTTGGCACAAACAATTTTTCACCAATGCGTCAATTTTACATCCACACAGAGGCACAATACACTGAGCACACGTGCTAAAAATGCGTCCAAATTCATTACGTTTTGCAGCTCCCTTTCGGAGTTTTGAGTTTCAACCGGTTGGTCCCTTTTCGTCGAAACGCGAGCAAAAGAGCTCTTTTTTCCACGGTCAGCAGACGCAGTGAAGAGCTACACGGAAGAGCTCCTCTTTGTGACGTCGCGATGGCTGCTGAGTCTGGACTGACGAAGAACCAGCGGCGGCGGCTGAAGAAGCGCGCGCAGAAACAGGCAGAGGCCAATGGCGTGCAATTCGGGTCGACCAATCGTCGGGACGAGACGGCAGTGCCCGAGAAGCAGACGGACATCGCGTCTCCCGTAAACGTCGAAGTGGAGTACGTGAGCGCCGACCCGAGCAAAGACTTAGCGCTGGCGAAGGACGATCCCATGTACGAGGAAATGCTGCGCGTGCTGAGCAAATTTTCGTCGGCTGAGGAGCTCTGTGGCACAACGGACAACGAGGTACGTCGAGCGAGATGGCTGGAAAACATCCGGATCACTTGGCATGGAAACATGAATATGTTTTAAAAAAACCATTGCGGATGGTGGAATTGTTACTGTGTGTGACAGGAAGGTCAAGATGTTGAGAATCGGGGGAAGAAAGGAGTCGATGGGGACGTGATGAACGACGAAGAGGGGGACGAACATAAAGAGGAAGACGAACAAGTGCTGTCGAGGAAAGCTCGCAAGAAGAGCAAGCGACTGAGTGTCGCTGAGCTCAAGCAGCTCGTCTCGTATCCTGACGTGGTCGAAGCACATGATGTCACGTCTGCGGATCCGCGTCTGCTGGTTTATCTCAAGTCGTATCGCAATACGGTACCTGTGCCACATCACTGGTGCCACAAACGCAAGTACCTGCAGGGCAAGCGCGGCATTGAGAAACCGCCGTTTCAACTACCGGAGTTTATTGCCCAAACGGGAATTGCTGCAGTGCGAGACTCGGTGGCAGAGGATGATGAGAAGAAACGGAACAAACAGCGAGCGAGAGAACGCGTGCAGCCCAAGATGGGGCGAGTCGATATTGACTACCAAGTGCTCCATGATGCGTTTTTTCGGTTCCAGACGAAACCCAAGCTGCTCACGCGGCTCGGCGACCTGTGCGTTCTATCTGCTGTGTTGAATGGGCGATGCTGAATCACGGGCTCATGTTGATGCATGTTTCGAGGGGGTAGGTACTACGAAGGAAAGGAGTTTGAAGTGAAGCTGAAGACGAAGGTGCCTGGTCAACTTTCGGATGAGCTCAAAGCGGCACTTGGTATGGTGGAAGGTGTACCACCGCCGTGGCTGCTGAATGTACAGCGATACGGTCCGCCACCAGCATACCCGAATCTCAAGATTCCGGGATTGAATGCGCCAATTCCGGAGGGTGCCAGCTTTGGCTACCATCCTGGCGGCTGGGGCAAGCCGCCCGTCGACGAAAACGGTGTGCCTCTGTACGGTGACGTCTTTGGCAAGGCGACCGAGACGGAGACTCAGGTAAGAGCTGTGTGTCACGTGTTGCTGTAAGAAAGACAGCGAGCTGATGCGCTTGTATTGCAGAGTGAGGAAATCAATCGAGAGCGATGGGGAGAGCTTGAAGAGGAAGAAGGTTTGTTTGGTAGACGGCACGCTGTGAACGCAAATGAAATCGTTGACGTGAATGTTGTGGAAATGCAGTGGACGAGGAAGAAGAAGAAGGTGAGGGAGAAGGAGATGAAGCTGAAGACATCATGGAAGGCGGTACGGGAGCTGAAGGTCTTGACGCGACTGGTGTGGAAACGCCGCTTGTGGATGGCATTTCCAGTGTTGCATCCGGTCTTACCACGCCCGGTGTGGTGGACCTACGTAAGGGTATTCGGTACGTCGAGTCTTACCAGCTCACGATCTTTTTATCGTTGCACTCGCCATTTCTGAGCTCATGCTAACTTGTTTGCGTGCATGTTCCTGGAGTAGGGGAACCGAAACACCCGATGCTCCTCAGCAACTCTACACGGTTTTGGAGCAAAAAGATGTGCGTGCTACACTACTTTTTTGCAATCAGTGCTGGCCCGTGACGCTAATGCTCTATCCTGTCATTCGTAGACGTCCGTGGGGACGTCGCTGTACGGCTCAGGTCATGCTTACGTGGTCCCTGGTGCAGCAGAAGAACCCAGCGGTACGCGCTCGGAGACTGGTCGAGTTCGTCGTCGTTTCGAAGATGCCTCGGCGCTCGCTTCAGCCGATGTCGGTGCTGACGAAGACGAAGCAGCTCAGAAGAAAAAGAGGGCCAAGACTGAGAAGAGCAAGAAGCTCAAGGATTTCAAGTTCTAGGTGTCGGAGTGCGTACAGCAAACATGACGAACAAGTCGCTTACGTTCGGGGTCGTGCGTCGTCGAGCTACTCACGGTTTGTGTTCCTTCTCAGCTCCTATTGCTTTTGCAGTACCTTGCTGCATTCTGCTGCCTCTGTCACATCGACCTCACTCATAGTGGCGGAAGTCCCATGGCTTCACGTAACTCCATGATCTGTCGACGTTCTTCGGGCGGTAGCGACTGAATGATCTCAGGCGCCAAGTTTTGCACTTGCTCCAGCAGCTCCTGCTGCTCCGAGTCCAACTTTTCCATCAGATCGTTCGATACGCCCTGTAGTCACACAGTAGGAAGACGACGTGATCGACAAAGCAGTAGCAAAAGTGATTGAAGTAGGAGTAGTCGACAATGCAGTAAGAAGAATAGTGGCAGTCACCACAGTAGTATCAATCGTAGCAAAAAGTACATACAATAGTGGTAAACATCATGACTTCATCCCACTATTCCATCCCATGACGATACGAAACTACTACCACGTACAATAGTATTAGTCGATGCAGAGCCAGCGGCCGTGCCCTCTTTGATCATGCCAAGGCGCAGTTGTGCCTGGGCCACAGCACGCGCGAGTTCCGGATGGTCTTGCAGTAACCGCCTCGTCTCGGCTGGATCGCTCTCATTGCACTGCTTTAGCTGGTACACCATCTCGTACACTTCCGCATCCGTCAGGTCTTTCACACGGGTCACGTCGACTTTCATGTTGCCAACTTGCGTCGCGTTGCTACGACAAAAGGTATCGCAGGTAGTCACATTGCTATCGTGTGGTCCACATCAGTATTGCTCCACCTTTTTCAGGCCCACCTGTTGTTCTGCATGTTTGAAACGTGCGCGGACTGTGTGGTACAAAACCGCATACACTCCGCGCTTGGAAATGCCGTTCATCCATGTTTTAATCCACTGCTCAAGCAATTTTACGGATGTGCAAATGCTGTTTGATGTGCTTTGCAATAGTATGGCAAAACGCGATGGGTTTTGATGGATTTGGATTATTGCCTGCGTCGTTGCATAATAAATCGAGGACATTAAAAGGCAATACAATGCCGTTTAGGGTGACGACAGCCATTTTTGCACTTTTCGAATTGCAAAGTATTGTTTTTGCTTATTTCGTCTACTTAGACGTCTCTGCCAAAAAACGGTACTGATAGCCAGTAGCTTTATTGCCTGGGAGTGGTTCATTTGGAGTTCCCACTGCAATGACATTTGAGAGCGACAACTGGTGGCGAGCTGTCTTCCAAATGCACGTGTATGGCATCAGCGTCTAGGACCTATGCATTCGACCCCAAGGGACGAACAATTCTGCGCTGTACAGCCTCTTCCTTTCTAAGGGCGTCGTGGACAACAAAAGGATAGAAATACAACTTCGAGGTGGCCTTCTCACGTAATTGAGCGTTCAACAATTTGTGAAAGAGCATCCGACGTTGTATCTAGAAGAGTTGCAGGACATGCTAAAATAAAAGCTCCCAAAACTAGGCAATTTACAGCCGCGTACTATCGGTAGGGCACTAAATTTCTATATAATTTTGACTTGAAAGGTATTGACAAAGGCGGATGGAGAGTGCATGCCTCAAATAGTCGCTATCTACAAGTCCAAGCTCTACTTTATCTACTCAAATCGAAAGCAGTTGCTTTCTGTCGACGAGACGTCAAAGGATAAGCGTTGAGCCTGTCGCCAATAAGCTCGGTCGAGACGGAAACAATAGGCAAAATCGTGTAGTGAAGTGGCGATCACAAGATTCTTCTGACCCTGGCTCTCCACTGGTGCCCAGACGACCGACTATCGGAAAGGGTACTCCGCTTCCAAGTTTAACGATTTCATTCCTACCTTGTGTACCCAATGGTAGGGCGGGCTGCACTCTTCTAGGTGTACTCGTGTCGATGAAAAACTTGACCATGTTGGTAGTAAGGTTGAAGGTGACCGTGTAGAAGTCTTCATACGATCACGAGTATACTTGTAGGGTGATCGATATGAATCACACTGATCCCGACAGGATCGCCTTGTCCAATAAGTAAATACTTAATCTGTTTGACCTTCTGACCACTTGAGACGTCTTGCGGTCTTGTAATTTGTCCTCTACTATGTTGCTGCGCCTGGTCGCAATTAGGGGGGGTTGTTTAGAGAGTGGCCAAATGATTTAGGTATATCAATTCATCACAGTATGTAGGTTTTCCCGACGTCGGGTGGCGAGTAATTCAACCCGGAAGAGAAGTCTACACGTATACTCAGAAGCAAATGAAACTCTGTTTAATTCTTAACTAATCAATTATGTACTACCGTTACGCTTACCAAAGTCTATAGGTCTTCTCTCGTGTGTCGTCCATACCTGCTGATCGTCTCTTTACACGACATGAACCACTTCATGTACTCACCTGATCGCGGATCACGTGGTGTGGTACACACCATCTGATCGATCGCGATCGCGGACGGCGTTATATACTCTTCATCCATATATGGCCGTTCGACCTATGAAACAAAGTTCCGAACCCATCGGCTATCCGCACCAGTCCAACACACGCGATGCGCTTGTACGACTGTCGTCCCCAATCGTTTGCTTGTTCTGACTTAGATGAAGCGCGATCCGTCCTTCTGTCACGAAGCTGCTTCATGACTTTATCACACTGGACCAATCTACAACTCAATGGCATCGTGGTGCAGCTGTTCCGATAGCGGCATATGGACGTTTGACCACGAAAAGGATACAGATGATGCTTGTACATGATAACTAAGCTTGTTACAGCCAATCGCTGATTGAAGCAATTTTCGGGTACGTGCACAGCTTTGAGCAAGCGCTCTATTGGTTTCAAGAATATAAACGTGGAAATTGTTATGGCGAAGGCAGCATTCACAGCTGCAAATTCTTTGGTCATGAACCCCTTACTGCAATTTGGTTCAGCCTCATACAATTCTTCGACATTTCTGCTAATGTATGGTCCAGTTTAGTTGTTTGAACATGTGTGATATGGAAGATATTGGTGGTGAAGGACATGTGCTCATTAAAAGTGATTGCTCTATATTAGGATGCCATATGTGATAAACAGAAGTACTGTCGCATCATTACACACGTTTTCATCGTGTGCGTGCTAATATATGTATATAAAATTGGGAGCTGACTGCGCATTCACCGCTCATTGAGAGCGTCTGTCATTGATGAGTATTTTACTAAATGATATCGAAGCCCATGTCAGTCAATGACCAGTGAGGTTGTCATATGCTGCTACGTATTAGCATCTTGGTATAATGGTCTCAATTCACGATATTATGTGATCTGTTAGGATATATGAGAATGAAAATTGTTCACATTTGACATCGTATGGAATGTCAATGTCATGTTATGGGATAACTCTAATGCATCGGCTTGTACAGTTAAATTTGCGAATCAGCGTGAACCTCTGCTCCATGTCGTTTTGGCTTATATAGATCTATTGATAAGCTTAACTATACTTAAAAAGGGGTTTTCTTTACTCAACTTTATGTCGTCAGATAAGTCTACTCGCTTCTTCTGCACGTACCTGTTCATGGCACCTACCGACGCTATTATTAGTGTCGGTAAATCTGAAGTCCCATCAGCATAAGTGAGTCGGTTTGCTACACGTCTTGAGAAAGGATCTTATCATCCACGTCTTAGATATATATCACTTCTCATAGGCCATCGAAGTTGATTGGTCAACTTCAGACCTGTTACAGGGTAAGGTCCGACCTCACCTGATTGGCTATTATTCTGATACTTTACAGGTGGAACGCGAAAAGACGAACATCACGTGGGACGATCAGGATGTCGAGACAGTGGGACGAGAATTGAAGGAAGACATGTGGGGTTAGCACACGATGACACACGGACTGGACGTGCGCCATCTGCAACTAGACTAGTTCAAGTTGCAGTGCGGATAACGAACATGTAGGGTAGTGTAAACGAACGAAGTTGACACTCAATATATTTCACATTTAATTTCTACTACCTTTGCACGAGTGCAACTACAACACTACAATCTACAAGGTAATGAGCCCAACGGAACGTGTTGGCGGCGCAGCTCAAGTTATTTTATAATAATTGGAAAAATAGATAAATGTAGAAACATTTGAGTATTAATTATTGATATAATACTTTTTATTTTTTATTTGATTAATATACATTTTCGGTAAAACAGTTCCAAAATAGATAATTGAATTGAGTATTTCGCTTACACCGAAAATATCAGCTGTTCGAGTTTGGTTCTATTCAATTTTAATATAAAAAAACAAAAGTATGATACAATAATAATTATAGTAATAAAATACGCAATAAAAATAAAGCTATGTACATTCAACATTGTTCAAGGGAAACCTGCAATTACTTTTGATAGCGTATGTCCAAAAGCCGAATCCGCTGCGGTGGTCGACGGGTCAGGACCCGTTTTAAGGTCCAACTATCTGAAGAAAAGTCGGTAGTGCCCGCGGCGACACTGGACAAGATGCTCGCTATACTTTGCGACTTGTCGGAGTGGATGAGCAGGATGAAATACTCAAAACAAGAAAAGTTGGACGCCAACGCGAGGACTCTGCGGAGTCGGGTATTTTTGGTCATGCTCTCGGTTCAATGTCCGTTATGACCTTCCAGACGTTGGAGCACACACAGACACGTAATCGCTCTTAAAAGGTCAAGCTAGAAACGTTTTTTGGCTGCACGACGACCAACTAACGCTGGAGATCACATGGTTGACACATCACCTCAACCCGGTGTTGACTGTGAAATGGTGTATGGACACGAGCCTGTGTTCTACGGATAAAATGCATCCGCGGAGCCGTTAGTAGGTATGCACATGCCATGTCCGATGTTACATCGACCCGAGCAGGTACTCATGGGTGTACCGGACGGACGTCAAAGGAAGCTGACGTTGCAAGCCTTTGACGGGAAGGAATTGTACCATGGACTTGATAGAGATTTCCTTTAAGGGGGTAATCACTTCGCTCGAAAGATTGGCTTCTCCGAGCGTGCCTGAATTTTATATGGCCCGAAGACATCAAGGTTGACGTCCTCGGGCAACATCTCGCTGATCCGGCGCAGAAGAAGTACCTGTTAGAATTGAGTGTCATGGTCTGTTGTGTTCGGCCACTGACTTTGGGAGTTCACTCTGTCAAGCATGACGCAATGATCAGTCAGACATAGGAGTCAGGGAGAGAGATATTTGCAATCATTCATTTGACTGGTTAGTGCGCTGCGATTCGGATAGCTAGAGCAGATGACAGATGAACATACAGGAGAGATAAAACCAATGGCAGAATCCTTTTTCCACAGCTATCTAGACAACTTCTCTCTGCCTAGCCCGATGGATAGCGGATACTACCTCTGTCAGGTAAAATATTGGTGCTATGAGAGTCCAACCTTGTAGCATGCCATGCAACGGATGCTTTAAACCTTCACTACCAAGATCACACATGCACAGAGCATGAAATTGTTCACTGCGGACAAGGCTCCTCAGCGCAGTGGGACGGATCATTTCCGGTACTTTATGGCCGTGAGCGACGCGTGTGGAGGAGAAGACAACCCCGTTTTGCAAATATCGTGCATAATGCCGATCCATCCATGCAAACGACAATGTTGTACCGGCTAAATCTGAAACAAGTGAATTACCTGCATCAAGCTGAAGTATTTGCGCAATTCGCACAGTCAACACAGCAATAAGTTCGCGTCAAGAATTTCGGCCGAGACGTTGTCAGCGTAGCC